CAGCTCCGTCCCCGCCCGCCCGCGCTTCCCGCCTTCTCATGTACCTGCAGTTGACAACCCCAGCCCTAAGTACCTTATAATAAACTTTCCACTTGATTCAGTAAATGTAAGAGTCCCTATGCTACCACTGTTCTTCTTGGTGGGAAGGGGCTTATACACTGTACACTCACAAGGTAAGACATTCTGCCTGCCTGTGAGTGTCAAATAATAATATTAATTTATAAGAGGCTTTCACATACTTTAGTTTCCCTGGGCCTTGTCCATATCCTTTAGTCTCTAGCTTCCTGTAGAAGTTCCTCAGCTTGGCTTCAAAATCTCTTTTATAAGGAGCTGGAGCTCGGGCATTGGCACGCTGAGTACCTGCAGAAATGAGAGGAGAAACTATAACTGTACAAAGCATCATGTTTGGTGTTTTAGAAAAAATAAGATTCCTTTATGTTGACCAAAGGCATGCAATATGCTTGTTTGAAATAATCTTTTATAAACTAGTACAAGACTAATGTCTCCAGACTTTCTGAACACCTAGGGCACTGACAGATGTGAATTTTATTTTTTTAATGGCACTTTACCAGAAGAGGAAGCGTGTTTTGACCTGGCTCTGCAGCATCTGTATAGGTTGGGTGCTTCAATGGGGCTTTTTGGTTTTTGTATCTAATAGTTGAAGTGCCTGGTCTATACAGAAGTTGCGTGAGCTGGGTCAAACTAATACAATGCCTCTTCTGGGTGCTCAGTGCATGGGCATGCCAAACTTAAAGTACAGCACCATTTTGAGGGGGGTTGACATCTGTAAGCAGCCCTAGAGTCCCTGGTGACTTTTTTATTATTATTTTCAATGGCTTAAAGGTTCTAGAGTAGGCCCTAAAAAGATTGGAGCCATTAAAAAGCAAAAGAGTAACTGGAAAGACCCAACTTTTGTCTGTTATAGATCTGTTTCATGAATATCTGTATTAGCTAGTAAAATAGTATATACCCATAAATAAAGCCTCTTCTTTTTGCACAGTCACAAGCAAAAACAGGTGTGTAGCAAGTGCAAGTTGAACTTGAGTATGTTACACTTAGTGCAATGACTGGACCTAAAGAGCATTTCATGGAAAATTTTACTTAGGCCAGTACAAGAAAAATATATTGGAAAAGCAGAGAGACTGATAGATTTTCCTTTACATTCAAATTACCAGGCTGAGTCAATTAATGTTGAGAGGCTCTTTCATATGTGACTAATAACAAAAAGGTGATTTTGTGAAATGCACATGTGACGGGCAGTATCTTTAAAAAGAGGAAGCTTTGTACGTCAAAATATGTACATCCACCCACATCTACATATACAATTCATACACATTCAAATTGAAATGAACCACTGATACCAATGTGAATGAGGGGAATTCATTGTAAATAGAGTTGTCTATTTTCTAGTGTAGTCCAATCTCGTTTTAAACAGTAGAATTTCCACCGGTTTTTGAAAGAGATTGTTACACTGCCCAACAGATTCCATCGCAAGAACCGGTTCCTCGAATCAAGGGCAGATCCAGAGAGAGTGCAGTTGCACCCCACTTTGATTCTTGCTCCACCCAAATTTTTAAAACAACTGCCTGGGAGGGGCAGTCACATTTTTATTCAGGCAGCGTTGAAAGAGTCAGTTGACTTTAGGGCACATTGTTATCTCCCTAATTCTTATTAATCTGACTCCACTCCACAGGTGTTAACCAGTCTCTATCCTCTCTAATGGTCTTGATGTTCCACTATTCAAACTATGCTTTCTTTTGCAATTTTGCTGTCCGTTAACTACTCCTGGTAACATCTCTCTTCTATCATGTCTCACAGCTTTAGTTCTAGCTAAAAATCTCAACAAAGGTGTGATAATATTAACTCACGCGTAGAAAATGACTGACAGTGAAGTATTGGAGGCACTGTCAAGACACTTGAGAAGGCTAGATTTTGTTACATGACCCTGAACAATATGTACATCTAACTGTAATGACTACAGGACTAATGAAACAATCTCTTTTGACTATTTTTGCCTTGTTTCTTGTGGATTCTTTTAACTTTACATATAACCTATCAGATTAATGCACATTCCAATAGCTATATTTGCATAGCACTAGCCCACTAACATATTAGTAAAGCATCTAGTTTCTCTTTAATTGGAGAAAAATGTGTTATGCAATATGTGAGGATGTGCCACACCATCTGCACCCCACTTTTCAAAGTACCAAATCCACTTATGCTCAAATTTAGTTTACATTTTACCTTTTTAATATAATTTTCTTGTCCATACTTACTTATTTTTATCCTTTTGTAGAAGATTAAATTATCCTTTTCTTCTTTGAGGTTTAGAACCCACAAATGCATGTTATCTAAAAATACCAGGGAAGCTAAAAATTTCCTGTACGCAACAATGTGATCAGGCTCCTAACTGCTCACAAATAATGTTCTCTGATACACACATGGAACTGTATGCACAAATGTGAATGTAAACATTCATGTATATACAGGACTCTATCTTTTAAGTACTAGACTTTAAAGCCTTTTGCCAGTAAAATGTCAGCTAGTTTTATAGATCATTTTTATTTTATCTCCTTCTAATCAACTACAGGAGCTTTCATACTGTCGGAGCAATGTGCTTAGCCTCTAGAGTGAAGAGGAACAGGAGAAGACAGTTTGCTCAGCTTGTCAAACAGGATTTTGTCCGTGTTTGCACAGCTTCTGGGTAAAGTGAGAGAAGAAAAATGAACTTGCTTAGATGGATCAGGTAGATGATACAGTGTTTGTGGCAGGCCAGTAGTGAGTGCTCCTGTGCTGAGCCACCCACCTCACTGCGTCTGACCACCTTCCAGGCTCTGAGTGCCTCCCTGGGAGTGTCTCACGTCTGGCCGACCCCCTTCCTGGAGCACACCTGCCAACCTGGGGGTAGAGATGCTACCACCCAGGGATGGGCTTGATTTTGGCTCTGCGCCCCCTGGGAAACACAGGCCTAGTAGCCCTCGAGGGTACTTGACTCACTTCAAGAACTTGGGGTGCTTCCCTCAGTTGGAATCATAAGTAGTGGTCTCCCTTAGTCAGCTGAACCAAGGGGACCCCAAAGCATAATCTAGACCCACTCCCAATAAGTCTCCCACACTAGGTACAAAGGAGAACTTTATTGGTTAGAAGGAGTAGGGTTGGAATAGGGTACAGAGTTGACTAGTATTAGAGAAATCCCATAGAGCAAACAGGGTGGCTGGAGTAGCCTTCGATCGTGCATCTAAGTTACTGCAAGCTATATATCTAGTTGGATCTGGTTAGATCTCAGGCAGCTTACTCACAAGTATTATCCAGAATAAATGCCATTCATGGTTCTTTCAGGAGCTCCACCTGTCCCCTTGTTAGAATGATGGTGCTGATGAGGGTGTGTGAAAGATGATTATAAAGTGGTGGAATATGTCACGAGATCCTTAAAGTTCCAAAATAAAAGTCCAAGACCCCTCTGCAAAGGCGAATATAGCCATATATTCAACCTTTTGTGGGGTTTTGATATTTCGCTGGGTACTCCAAGTTTTTTCAACCTGACATTTCTGCCTCAACTATACTATATGTATCTATTTAAAACTATATGCAATCCATTAATTATTGGTTTTCCCCACCATTTTGCATATTTTGAGATAAATTTGATATGGAGGTAGGGAAGTTTATACTTTTTCACTTGGGCTGTAGCAATTCCAAAAGGAAGCCTTTGCTATAGAAAATAAAACTGGCAACACATTACTCATGGCTCAAAAATTACCATTAAATTATCCTGTCAGCACAAGATGCATTCTCACTGTAAATCAGCTGCCATTGCCAAGAAATTCCAGGGCAATTATAGCAATTACTTCCACCTTGGGAACAAGAAATGTTAGTGAAAGAGCTAAAAAGATACAAATGAAGTGGTAATTGTGACTGTCTCAGATTGTATTGCCCAAAACAGATATAAAGGGCAACTCCATGGGTATTCATACCTGATAAACAGAAGAGTACAAAAGCCAGACAGGTAAAAAACAAATCTGTAGCCAAGGTGACTGAACAACATACTAACTTTGATCTTTCTTTATAATCATAACCTCAACAGTAAGAAATCCCTTAATTAGCTAGTAACACTTTAGAATGTCAACTTTAATCCGTTTCTTCAGAGTTACTTATCACACTCACATTAAAGCCAAAAAGTTCATCCTGCTTAGTGTAACAACAAGAAATTCCTAAGGGATTTATAAAGGCCCTGCCTACTGTACATTGCAGCCTATTTGGCAGAACAAATGCAGAGTAGTCAATTTACCTATTAATAATTTCTTTGAAAAAATAAAAGGGCACAGGGCTCCATTCACAAAAAATGCAATGTAGTACCTGGGGTGCTGGCACGGTACAGCAGAGGTGGCATCCACTATGCAGCGTGGTGGGTGGCATGCATACTGTGGAACAGCATGTGGCCCACATCACATGCAGCCTGTGGGGTGTGCAGACCACATGGAGTGTGGCCAGGGGTCTTGTGGCCCTTGGCCACCAAGAATTTGGACAGCCCTTCTCTTTTGTGGGGAGTCAGAAGAAAAGCTAGGGTAACATTGGATCTCTGCTAAACCAAATGGGACAACTGATAACTGACACCCAGGAAAAAAACAACCTGCTTAATGGGTACTATGTGTCGGTTTTTCATCGGCCTAAAGCGACTGCCCTGCCTAGCATGATGTGGGACGGCCAGGCTGAGGATGAATTTATATCTAGGATTGTAAAGGAACAGCTTGAGAGGCTGGACACCTTCAAGTCAGCTGGTCCCGAAAGATTACACTCCAAGATTACAAGGAGGTGTCACAGCTCAACCATTGGCAAAAATATTCAAAAACTCATGGCACTCAAGTGAAGTATCTTTAGATTGGGAGAAGGCCAATGTGGTGCTCATCTTTAAGAAAGAGAGGAAAGTAGATCTGGGGAAATACAGGCCAATCAGCTTGATCTCAATCCCCGGGCAAGATTCTGGAAAAAATTGTTAAAGAGACCATTCTTGACAAGCTGGCTGATGGCAACATCCTGAGGGACAGCCAGCACGGGTTTGTTGCAGGTAGATCTTGCCTGACCAATCTCATCTTCTTCTATTAACAGGTGGCACATCACCTGGACAAGGGAGAAGTGATTGACATCATATATCTGGACTTTAAAAAAGCCTTTGCTCTAGTGTCCCATGATCTCCTCATGGAAAAAATGGCCAACTGTGGCCTTGGCTACATCAGTCTGGCTGGGGCATTGGCTCCAAGGTCGGACCCAGAGAGCAGTAGTTGACAGAAGTGAATCATTGTGGCACTCTGTGACCAGTGGTGTCCCCCAAGGTTCCATCCTTGGACCGGTTCTCTTTAACATCC